TAGTTATGGTAGCAAAATATTTTTAGCAAGCAATGATTTGATTAGCTACGGTAGCGAAAATTGTTTTCAGTTAAATATTCCCCCTCATGACGAACAAAGTCCATGAAGATGCGGATAAAGAAACGAAGTTGTTCGAAGGGCCGGGGGTTTTCAAAGTGGAGTCTCGGGCTGAACAGACGTGTATGTTTGCAACTTCAAATAAATACGGTTCTACCCATTTTATCTAAGATTTTTTTATTTCCGCCCGAGAAGAACGAGCATACGCGAGTGTCGGGGAGCAAGGATTCGAAGTTCGCAATGCGAGATTAAAGGTTTGTTTTCTGTTCTTACACTAGTGAACTAGTGCAATAAATTAGAGCAAGACAGGCATATATTTTCTCATTCTACCTTACTGCACTAGGTCACCAGTGCAGGAACAGAAAACAAACCTTAAATCGCTGACTGCTTTGCTCTCACTGACTAGAAGACAATCGACAATCACTAATCTCAAACCAATCCGCGTCGACGATTGCTAGTCTGACTTAGGCCGGTTCTACTTTGATTCGGTATCGTAGTGTCACAAAGGTCGTAGACTGGTTCTAATTCAACGCTGATTGGTCTATGATTTGCGATGCTGACGAGGCTATGATACGATCAACGTATAATAGAACCAGCCTTTTGCTGGAACGCGACACCACATAACGCGATGAGTGCGACATAGTGCAACATACATAGTTCGTTTTTCCGAAATGTATACTTGCAAAAAGGTACACTGGAAAAAATCTGGTTACATTAACTAGAAATCTGATAGATTTAACCAGTTGTCTGTTAGAAAATGAACGAATTAGAATTCCTTCAGGATTTACCAATGGATGAAGTCTATCAAACTTCTGGTTATGAAATATCGAGCTCTATCGTGATAACTAGATATTCTGTTTAGTTTAACCGAAATATATTCTATCATACATGTCTTGTTAATACAATCAAAGCATTTTTCTCGGTATGCGAACGCGCGATAGATGCAAAAACATGTTTTATTCGCGTTTGCGACCGCGGAGTGAAACTTCGCGGGCTGTCAATGCTTGTGGTGTCGGATTTGATTTAATTCGTGCAAACGCACTATAGTCCGACCGTCGCAGATATTTAATCTTAAAAATGTATGGTTTAAAAAAACAAGTGATATCTTGGACAACTTTCCATTAATTATTATTCAAATGCTATCAAACAAAATATATTGTTTCACTTCTTTGTATATTTTACTCAAATTTATTTTTATATTAAAAATGTAAACAGTTGTACCAAGTGTAAAATAAAGATTTACGTGTAATGTAATTAATTCATATGATATTTTTTATATCCAATAAAATATGATCAAATTGTATTTTGCATGTTTTACTTTTTATCATCAGAAAATAAATACGTCAAATACGTTTACTTTTATGCACTTGTCCCGGTTTTTAGTACTTTAGATTGCACTCCTAAACGTATTCGCGTATCTTAATACACGTCTCGCTGAATATTTCCATTGAGTAAGGGCTTCCGGAGAAAGGGGGGCGTCTGAAGTAGCTCGAAGCTAGAGGCCCGAAGCTAGTTTCGCAATGTCCTACTTTGGTACACTATTACTGCAGATATTGGTATTTGCGTAATTATGCGTTCCTCTCACGTAACGATCAATATGTTTTAAACTTTGTAATATTAAAGTAGAAATAGAAGTAGAAAAAAATTTAGTCGCTTATTCCTCGATGATAAGATAAAGATTTTAAAATCGTATATCTTTCCTGAACTTTTGTTCCCTTTCTGTTTTTACTTTATCATTATTTACTATTTAATTTTTTCAGTAGATCGGTTCTGTTCGAACTTTATTTCTTACTATTTAGTCATTCAAACGAGAAGAAAATTTCAACAAGTAGAGGAAAGTCCTCTATTATGAGACAAGTTTTTAATATGAGATAGCAGGTTTTCAATACCCAAATTCAATCACAAATCTTTTTTGCAACGATTACACGATCCAAGAATGACTTTTTCACTAAACAGATTTCGCTCCAAGGCCAATAAATTCATGGTGGAATCAACAGATGATGCCTATTAACTTAACAGAAAGAAATAGGGGACTTTCCTCTATATAAGATATAACTGTTGCAGAATGATGCACTAACGTGATATGAATATTAATGGTTGCGATAATCACATATAAAAAAAATCACTATATCACATTATATAAGTGTGTTTTACTTATTATAAAATATTAATACTTAATTGTTAGCCGAAATATTGCAGCAGATTGGCATAATACTGCGCCCGCATTGAATTTGTGTTCGAAATCAACTCACAACACTTGATAACGTTATACAATGGAACAGGTAATTATTTGCAGATTTACAGCGCTGTAAATTATTCGGATGGTCGGTCAGAATCAGTTACTCCATCAACACGTTGAATTTACCAGAAAATTCCACGCCGCAACACCGTCGTTGCTTAGAGTAACCTCAAAGAACTACAGGATCTACCGCGGCTTAATAACGGCACAATGATGCGTGTCAAGGATTTAGTCTGTAGTCCGGCGACGATGTATAATAAACCTGCGAGGATGGATCCGTTTCCACCGCATTAAGATAAAAACGCGATTAGAGGGAAAATCCGATTTTCCCACTGTTTAATTCAGTTGATAAAGAATTACAAATTGATAACGTCGCACGATGTGATGCTAAATATTGTAGTGCAAAATAGATAAATTTGCTTTAAAAAATAGCGATCGTGACTTTCATATTCTTTGTGTTTTACTTCAAAAATTGCTGCTAAAATGAGAACAAAAACTGACGCTAAAACTCGTGCAAGATTTGCTGGCGTAATGTAACAGCAGGCGACAAAAGCCAAGCAGGAACATACACGGGCATGATATGGCGGCAAATTGGCAGCAAATGCAGTAAGCAAGACTGGCTGTTATATAACTCAATTATTCGACATGCTTTTTTAAATATTTTTAAGATATACTTAAGATAATACTTAAGATAATACTTAAGGTAATAGTTAAGTTAAAATACTTAAAAATATTTAAAGATATTAAAAATGAGTCGGACCATCGAGCTATACAACAGCAAGTCTTAGGCATATTATCTCTTTCTTTATCTCCGAAGCAGTTTTTTTAATTGTACTTCGATCTGTTACCTCAAGATTTTAAACAAGACGGAAGTATTATTCAATATTCAGTATTTTCTGCCAACACACAGTATTAAATATATTGTTTTTTAAGAAACTCTGCAATATTCTCCAACAATACTAATCCTTTTACATATTAATAGATGAAAAAATGTTCATCTGAGAAGAGAAAAATTATTCATCTGAGAAGAGAATTTAAGACACGAAATTAGTATCATTATTTACGAAGTGCAGTACGAAGAGTACATACCTATTCAATACTATGTCGCACAAGCATTTGCATTTAACGGTCCGTATTTGCCTACAAGTGTCCTAATTTTCTAAAATCAATTCAAGTTTTGCACTCTTTACTTCTGTAAATATATTCGTTGTATTCTCTTCGTCTTTTTACAAGTAAATACACAATGTTGGGCTAAGTCAAAGGAAATTTACTCTTCTGTTACACACATCCGTGCGAGGTGATTCGTCACAACTTAGATCGAATCAGTGTATTGAAATACGCTCCTTCCTCTCAACTCGTCGGTGGCTTGTACCCAGGTGCCAGTATTACGCATGACATCGCGCCGTACGGATCCATCGGTATTTTTCAAAGATCCGTTTCTCTCTGTACGCGATTTTTTATTTTTCTCTCTTTTATTTTTCCCCTAAAAATCGTCTTCTTATTAAACATATTATCTTTTTCTTTGTATCTCCGAAGCAGTTCTTTTGATTGCACTTCGATCTTTTACCTCAAGATTTAAAACAAGACGCAAGTATTATTCAATTATTACGCAGGTATTGTCCGTCGAGACTCGTCTGATAATTTTGGAAAACAATATCATAGTGTTGGCAGCGAAACGCTTCATGAACGTAAGTTAAGTTTATAAATGTTTTAATTTATATTGAAAATGGCAGCGAATAATAATACGGTTTAATGCTTCTCGCCTCGAGCCCAACAGTGTTGATAATTTGTACACGTATATTTTATGTTATATAAATAATGTATGTAAACCGACATTGTACTAAATAAATGGACAGGCAACTTAATATTTGCAAAACATGAATATAAGATTCTAAAGCACTTTGATAATATCAATCGATAATGCAATTCGCGACATATTAACACATTATAACGCGTGTTTCGAAATGTAAACGTTTATAAATTCTTTAAATATATAGCAACCCCCAACTTTATATTAAACTAACTGTAAGAAGTAATAATTGCCCAAGATATTTGATTCAATTTGCTCTCATATCTTTAAAATACGGTTAATAAAGATTATTGTATAAAAATACCATGACTCATACGATATGTTGTTTCTTTACTACTTCGTAGAGAAAATATAAGGCTGGAAATATAAGGTAGAGGAAACATAAAGCTAACTATAGATACTAAAGATATTTATAGCACGAATTAAAAAGGAAGTAATTCCTGTGCAGTCTCGATGGGATAGCATGAATTGTTATCGATTGAAAGTTTCCCTGCAGATATAATCCAAGGTTACTTAAACTTTCATAAAAATCATATAACAATGATACTTTTGTTGTTTACGGAAGTCTATAATAATATATCGAGACATATAATCGCAAAGTACTCGAACATTTTCCTCGTCACTTTCTACTTCGTGATTTATTTCTACGTACGTTATTAGTTTCTTACGAGTGTCGTAATTATAGTCTTACATGTTCGACATATCATGATTAGACGAAATATATAGATAAACTGGAATAGAACGACCCGCTTTTTTTCAAACTTTAGTATGTAATCAGTTGACATGTCTTATTATATTTTCAAAGGCGATTGCTCGCAAAAAGTCATTCCATTTCATTTCGTAATTTGTTCTGATATTTTCGTAATGAGAGCAATTTGCATACGTTGCAACATTATGAAACAATAAAACGGAGCCATGTTTGCAATATTATAAGTCGATATACGATGTATAATCTGATATAAAGAACATTTTTATCGATTTTAAAAATTAATCGCACGAGTATATTTGACATTTTATTGTAAATCTTTACTGCCTACCGAAAATCACACATTACGGGATTTCATCAATAGTATATACTTAGCGTTTCACAGATACTTACACATAAAATAATATGTTTTTATTAGAACTTTTGTTATGTGGTTTTCCAGGAATTCTAACCTGTTATCACGAAAGTCCCTTTCTTTTTTTTCTCTTGTGTTGCGTTATTATCCAATCAAATGAATTATTGGGAGACATGCATGCCACTTGTTGATGTATTATAAGATAAAATTATCTAACATTCACTGCCAATGAGAAAATTCTAACTGTTCTTCACTCATGGTTCTATGTGCGTCCACAATCTTTCAGCCATAGAACACGTCAAACCTTGAATGGAGAACGGATTTGCTCAGCATTGCTAAGTGCTTGGCGAGTAGTTTCCATAGATAGAGGATAGTTAAAATTCAAATTATCCTTCCTCGAAGATAATTTAATCTTACTTGTTATTAATATATTTTTGGACACCAAGACGTTCCATAACAATCAACATGAAATTTTTAGATCATTTTGAAATTTCGGATTTTCAGAGAAACTTTGAGGCTGGAATCTTTAATTCTCGTATTTTTCGACCGCTAAGATTGTAAATATTCAAATAAATTATCTATTAAAAACTTCTTCATAATTTTTGCAGATTATGTATTTGCACAGTTTAATAAAAAAACCCCCTAAAAAATTATTCTCTTCTTTAAGGTTTGAAAATAAAATGGTTTTTGTTATATCGCGTTATTGTTAATTGATATTCGAGATCCGTGAACTTCGTAATCGAACTTATTTGATCTAAAAAATGCGAAAATTATCTTTGAAATTTTATCTGTAATGCTAAATCGCATTCTTAAATGACCTGTTGAGGAGACAATCATGTTCGCCTTCTTCCGCAAGGTCTGCGGGCACACGAGTTATGCAATTAAAACAATAATGGTGCTCGCTCTGAACGCCGGTAACAACGAGCAATTTCATGTTGATTGTGATGCTCCATCTCGTAATTCGTGATACCGACGAGGCATTGCAAAAGTACATTCTCCGTGCTGTAACTACAAAGAATGATGATAATATCACTCACGGTTGCACAATCTGTTACACTTGAACAAAACATACAGAACATCAAGCTTTCGCATACAGAGCATCGAGTTTTTGGAAATGTACTAGATATTTTTTTCCCAACGAGTCGGTAAATAGATTCACGAAAATTAAACTTCCCTAATAACAAGTGTTTCGTACGTCCGATCAACCGATACGGTAAACTTTTCACGTTTATTTATTCCAACAAGCGGAAGTTAAGGTTGACGTATGTGTGCTAGGTAGAAGGTATTGTAAAACCGTTATATAAAAGACGTGACATTCGTATCGAATGGTATTTTGTGCCATGGCCACTGTGTACAATAACAGTGTGATGGGGCTGACCAAATTAACTTATTAGCAGTTTCCTAATTCAATTGTAAAAAAAAATCTTAATGTTACTACGAATTAAATAGAAGTTATTACAGCAAAGTCGTTATAAATTGCTGTAAGAATTATCGAAAAATCTGTTCGACATTAAACGCAGATACTGGAACAATGACGTACGGCGGAGCTACGCACAATACAGATTAGACATCTTACGATCAACTCAACGACGTTACTTCAGATCCGGAAACGCACAAAGCATATCAAAATGATAATGCCCAAGAGTTTCTTCAGGAGGATCAGCAAGGACTTCCGTCAGAAAGAGCTGATGCCGCTGAAGTTAATATTTTTCGTTCAAGCTTCCAGTAAGTAATTTAGAAAACATTTATCTACCGTGCGACAACGTATCATCTTGTTGCGTCTTGATTCCCTCATCAATCAAATAATTAAGTAGAATTAAAAACAAGTAAAACAATACTTCTGACGTGGTGACAAGTCTCTTTCCTGTGGTTTAGCACTTTACGTATTGTATCCGTACTTGACTATACATATGAGAGAACTGGGAATAAACGTGGAAGAGACTGCGATAATGAGTTCCATTACTCCTCTCGTGGCCATGGTAATGCCACCGCTTGCCGGTATGCTAGCCGACCGGATAGGAAATTTCAAAGTAAGTTTCTGTTTTTCGACAAAGTTTTTTTTCATAAAAAATACCAAAATAATATCAATATATGCAAGTCCAAAATTTTCTCGTCTGTCTTTACCCTTGCCACCATTTATTTCCTAACATCTTGTGTCATAATTTACATGCATACTTATTCAGGTAGCAAACTGACGTTGTTTATCGTCATGTTGATGTCAAAATGAGGTTTTTTACGACTTCGATGTCAAAATGCTGACAAATAATGTCAACTTTACTACCTAGATATGCATATGTGCATGCGCGTATGTGTACATGCAGAAAATTAATCACTGAGACTTTTGACGAATTTTTTTCTGCCAGATTTTGCTGTCGGTGTTTTCTGCGTTCGGAGGTTTAGCGTCGTTATTATTACTACTGGTGCCGATCGGCAGAGTGACAGTAGATTTTCCCGAGAGGATAATCATGGACCTCGGTTGTGAAGGTAGAAACGGCTCGTTATTACACACAATGAGCCAGACTCATCCGTGTGAGACAAAATTAGAATCGGAGATCGCTATAAAAGTAGAAAGTTGTGGGTAAGCAAAAAGTCGCAGTTACGTATCATTTGTTCCGTTGCAGGAATGAAAGAACGTTGCGAATTTATTGTATTGTGTAATATCACTTATATAATATTTCATCATTTTTATTCTTTTCTTTTTTCCGTATATTATGTCTGAAGTATGTGGTTTTCTTTTGTCTGCTGTCTTGTAAATCCTTCTATTACCATTAATGCTCCAGAAATTTAATATTCTAACATTTTAAAGACGTTCGTAGTCGTATATTCTGTCATTAATTTAAATCACCAACCGAGAAATTATTATATTATCACGATTAGTAATCTCGTGCCAACGTGACAAGTGCTTCGTCGTAATAAATACATGTACACGTGAATATTACGTTTTCCTGTTTATTTCAAATGAATTTTAACAAACTTTTATTATGAGTCAGATCTAATACTTTCTTTACTCTATTACTTTTTACTACAGGTTATTTGTTAAAAAATAATTTATTTATTGTAAGCTTTGCTGTAATGGCATTTTTAGAATAGAAAAATCTTTTCTATTCTATTCTATTCTAAAAAATCATTTGCAGAGTGACGCTTTAATCGGTTTCTTCGAAGTCATTTATTTGCAACTGTGCAAATATGCTGAGCAAAGCTCGGAGTGACACTTTAATATTTTTAATCGGTTTCTTAGACGGCATTTATTTCTAACCGTATATTTCAAACAAAGCGCTAACATTAGCAAATTTTTTTTTGCGCAGATTCGTTTGCGGAGTGGAAACGCACAACGAGACGGATCGAAGTCTGATTCTAAAATCGAGGCTTTATACAGTCCGCCATCTCAATTTTCAGACTCACGTTAACACCTCGTACAAATATATTGTTGCGCAGAGCGACTTGTCAACGGTACGTTGCGCACTGAAACATATGTTCTGACTACCTGTTACTGCGTTAAGGATACTCGATACCTAATATCGAATAACGGATAAGCGGTGAGCTTACGTATAGTAAGCTAGACACTGGTCGCCGGCTGATGCACGAAAAGAGTACAGTGCAATGCGTGTATTGTTAAATCTTTCAATTAACTACTTGCAACACCTACACTCAAAGTGTACACCCATTTTTTTAATGTATAAAAAACCGTTCTTTCTTGACGTTCAGTAAAGTATCGAGTTCTTGAAAATAAATTTCAGAATTTAAACAGTAAAATTATACAGAGTAATTTTTTGTACTTTATTTCTTGCTATATCTCTTACTAGATTTTTACCACATATCTGATAATTTCACTAACTTTATGGACATACTATTTTGCATAATAATTTTACGATGCTAATGAACTATTATATCTTAATTACAGAGTACTAGTCAACAGGAAGATATAAAGGAACATCGACAATTAAGAAATAATGAATTTTTTAAAACTACCATCCGGCAAGTCTCGAGGACACGCTATTTTTTTCCAACCGACCAACTGTTCTCATTTTCATGTATGTCCCCGTCGGGACACGACCAAGATACCAATAGCTTTACTACCCAAGCATTGCATAAAATGCACAGAAATCATACGTCATGCGCGTTTGATAATGTAATGAAATCGAAGGTAGAAGAAGAATAATATACTTCGTTACGTAATAATATTCGTATGTATCCGAAAACATCTAGAAATTGGCAATAATCCAGGAATTTTCATAATTTTTTGCTTTCTGTATCACAATTAAAGTTCTAAACAAATGAATTAATTCTTACTGTTTCTGAAAGAAAAAAGATAAAAACAAAAAGTTGAAGTAAAGTCGTACTTTTTTTTAAGGATAATGTCAACCAAACGATAAATTATCATTTGTACAAATCGAAAATTAAAAGTTTAAAACAAGATGAAGAGGATTTACAAGAAGATCAGCAAAGATATTTGACAGAAGAAATATCTTGGACTGGGGAACATTTTCAAAAACCTATTTGCGATGATCTAGACTCTGTAAATAATCAAATCACGATACTTGTACGGCTCTATGATCACGAAGCGAATCTAGAAGCAACCAAGCGAGTCTTGAGCACAAACGAGTGCAAGAAGAAATGCATAGTTACTCTACCTCGTAACGCAATATGCTCCAACATGAAAATGGAAATCGAGTACAACATAAAGCTAACATTCTGGGTTTATCTCGTTATTCGAGTATTCATAGGTATTCATAGTATTCATATCTCAACGTTTCAATTATCTCTTAAGACAATCATGATAAAAATCTCTAATCATTATACAGTTCAACAAGAAATAACTTGTTTCGAGTCTTCGAGAAAAGAAATAACCGTTTTCTACACAGCGTGTATGTTGAATATAATTTCGGCTTCCGAAATTTTATCATATCATATCTTTAAAACAATTTGATATTAAAGTTATAAAAAGTTTATTTCTGAGCTGTAATTAAGTACAGAAAACTACATTAATTATTATTTCTTGGAGTTTTTTTCTCAATTGTATTATAGTTATTGATATTAGCTTTGACATTTATTAATTTTATGAAATAAAACTGTATCAAGAAATAAAGATGTTAAATTCTTCGTTTCAGGTATTATTAGTGGTACAACTTTTGCCATGTTCGAAGGTGCTGTTATAGCGATATTACGAGAGCAAGAGGCAGATTACGGTCTTCAAAGAATTTATGGGAGTATAGGAGGCATGATTTCCTCACCCTTGTCAGGTCTTCTCATAGATTACGTTAGCGAGGGTAAAGGATACACAGATTTTAGGTGAGTAATTTTATTTAGCGTTTTATAATCAGCGGTTCAGCCGGAAGAGAATGATTTGACGTTCCAAGATAAATTGAAAATTTTTCCATGCGAGGCTTCATTTTCAAGACGTTTGATATATTTATACAATTTTAATTTTAAAAGATTGAATCTTACTGAACCGCTAATAAAAATCTAATGAATTTTTCAGGCCAGCGTTTTATCTATACGCAGCATTGAAACTTGCATCGGGCGTTCTTATGTTGCTAATCAACTTAGAATTCAAGGCACCCGCTAGGAACGTAGTGCGTGACGTCTTCACTGTCTTAAGAAACATTGAAACCGCCGCACTCTTCCTTGCATGTTTCATTCTCGGTAAGTTACCGGACTATTTAAAATAGTCAAAATTTTCGCTTCGATATTTTGTAACAAATTATTCGAACAAAAGGCAGCATTTAAAGAAAAGAAAGATGTTGACAGGTACCGCCTGGGGATACATCGAATCGTTTCTCTTCTGGCTGATCCAAGACTTGGGAGGATCTAGATCGCTTATGGGTATCACGGTAGCAGTAGGCGGTATCGCCGGCATACCGTTGCTGGCACTCTCAGGACCAATCATATCAAAGATTGGTCACGCAAACGTGCTTTTCATAGGTTTCGTGTTTTACGCCATCAGGCTCGTCGGTAAGTATGACAACGGTGCGAAGTAATTGGCAGAGAACATACGTAGACACGCGCGTTAAAGATATAATGAAGTACTTCCTGTACAGGCTATTCTTTGATTTACGATCCTTGGCTTACTTTAATCTTCGAGGCATTAGAGTCAGTTACAACGTCTCTCAGCTTCACCGCAGCCGTCACTTACGCGGCAAAATTATCAACCACGTCTACCGACAGCTCGATACAAGGATTGCTTGGCGGTGTTTACTACGGAGTTGGTACGATCGCAAATACATCTAATTGCTCAAGTTCCTTCGTCAATTACTCGTAAATTGGTAATAATTAAAATGCGCTTGATTTTTATATTTATAGGCAAGGGCTCCGGCAGTTTGATCGGCGGTTATCTAATGAAAGGCTTTGGTACCAGACCGACCTACAGGATTTTTGCTGTGATAACTTTAGTGACCGGTATAATATATTTTATATTCAATGCGACTTATTTAAAGAAGCGCTCTCAGCTCGAAGGCAATGATATCATAAAGCAGAAACCGAAAAAAGTTAACGGACAAGATACCCCCGAGAAACATGCGACTGATAGCCTCGACGAAAAACCGCAAAGCGAACGAACTGATAGTAAAAGCAACACGATGGAAAGTGATAATAAAGGATTTATAAAAGAAGAATCGAAAAATAACAAAACAACGGATGAACTGAATTTAACTCAGATCGAAGCTATTAGAAATGCTAGAAACATTGATGAAATTGAACAAAATCCAATTAGAAAACATGAAGACAAATTAGCAACAAAGGGCAATGAGATTCAAAGGAAGGTTGAAGAAAGCGATACGCAAGAGAGCTGTTTTATTAATCCGAATTTTGAGACTGACAATTTAGATCAGAGTAAAATCACAGTGGAAAATGAACAGAGCACATCGCAAAATGACAAGCATATCGATTGAGCTTGAAGGATCCTGAGGATTTCTAGTTTAACGGTAGTCAGTTAAGAAATTGGTTGCAATAACAGCGCAAGCAGTATTTTATGACGTTGAGAGAGGAAGAGAAATAAATTAGTCTAAAATTTCAATTTTATTCGAAAGAAAAAAAGATAAAAAGTTACTTAGCGTCGTCTGTGCTTGTAATTAGTCGAATAGCAAGAAGTCCATAGATTCAAAAAGTATGCATTAATAAATCAAACCGACCAATCTAATTTATCAATTGTATATAAAAGTATGTACACATTACATAAAACTTTGCTAATTTATTAATAAACAAGGATTAAATAAATTAAAACTTTTTGATGACTACTCAAAACTGTGGTCAAGGCAACCACTATCCATTTTTTACCCACTCGTGTTTCAACATAACGAACCTACAAATCTTCAATTACAACCCCGACGCGATTTTCTAGGGGTTTGACTTGGAGTTTAACGTGTCCACGGGATTTATTAATAGAGGCCTTACCGGCCTTACTCTCGCACATATACGAGAATATACGTATATAGAAGTATAACCCACCCGAATTGTAACGAATTAAAAAAATCAAAGTATACTACGTAGAACACCTTGCTTATTCCATCAGAGTGGCCAATACTGACCACTTACCTCGTCGTATCTAGTTTTTCTTCGTTGGGCCAGATTGGACCTACCTTTCGTTGCTCCTGGCCATACAATCTGATCATTTTGACCAGAGATCAGGAAGGAAGAAAACTCCTTCCATAGTCGGTTATCGTCACCGACAAATATTTCGTACGGTTCGAATACACGAGTGTTGATCGTATCGCAAAATACACGATCACGAGAAGTTAATTAAACAAGAATATTAATTCAAAAACTTTACTGTATACAACGAATCACATTTATTTTTACTTCCGTTATTTATTTAAAAATATTAACCATTTCTTCGTAACGTGATCTTTGAATTCGAAATTCAAGTTGATGTAGAAAAAATTTACATCGCGTTAGTGATTTTAATCGTATTCCACGATAAATTAAAATTTATAATACGGATAAAAAATGAATAATTTCTTAAAAATTTTTCTTGAAAAACCGATCGCGAAAACCGACCGCGAAAATATAAAGATGCGTATGACTATGCATGTATTCATGCATGACGCATCTTGAAAGTACGTATATCACGTACCTATGTACATACACAGAATAAATGATGTGAGATCCAGAAAAACGAAACTTCTTTCAAATATATAAAAATAAATTAAAATTTCAATGTTCTGGACAAAACATATTAGAATCTCACATTATATTATTTTACCTTATACATCAATTTGTTAATGAAAATGGATAGGCTACAAAAGATTGGCTTGACGAATACATCAATAATATTCGCCATATTTCGCGTAAGTTCTGTTATGTAAATCAACGATTCTCAACACGGAAAATGAGCTCGACGTACTCTGATTTCTAGAGCTCTATATAATTAAACAAATGTCAAAGAAACTTTAAGTTAAACCTGTTGAACGTCAAAGGCCCCGCTGTAAGAAGGAATGAATCCCAGATTTTCCGGATTGTCACCGATAGCGGTCATTTCGGCAGGGAGTTAACGACGATCGTTTCTCAAATCATTAAATTTCGTATATTTTCATTTTTATTGAAATATAAATATTTTTCCATTATTATTAATGGGAGAATATTTATTGAGAAGGATATATATAAAATCTTCTCTTATTTTTTCAGTTAATTTCGCGAATCGACGTCGCGCCCTCGTGCCGAAACCGTTGCTTTCGGGAATCCGAGACAAGAAAACCAGGGATTAACTCTGGTTCTTCAACAAGGTTCTTCAATCTTCAACGGGCAAAGGGAAAGTTAAACTAATCCAAAGGTCAAGGGCCCCGCTGCAGGAAGGAATAAATCCCAGATCTTCCGGATGCTCCCGATAGCGGTCATTTCGGCAAAGAGTTAACAACGTTTTCAATCATTGAATCGGATATTCTTACTATTGCAATGTTTTTTACATGCGGATCATGATTTTCTTTTTCTTTTCTTTTTCTTTTTTTTTTAATTTCTAATTATTTTCGTGAATCGACGTTGCACACTCGTGCCGAAACAACTGCTTCCAGGGATCCAAAAGATAAGAAAACCAGAGATTAACTCCGGTTCTGCAACGGGGCACCTAACTCTCCATATTGAAAATCGCTTACGCTCCTCTCCGGAGATTTAATATATTAAATAAAAACTTTAATTGCCGTTAGCAATTGAAACCTATCCATTTTGAGACAACGAATCTACAAGATATATTATTCTACGATCTACAATCTACGATCTACCAGATGTAGATTCGTTGCCTCTATAAAAAAAAGTTTCTGACTCACCGTTCGGATGCGCAGCAGCGGAGTTTAACTATGTTGAATCTGAAACAAATAATTATAAAATTCACATTAAAATCTATGTCATGAAATCTTTAGTTAAATGTAGACAATGTAATGATTTAAAATTATTTACTTAATATAATACAAAGATTTACTTGAAATTTCATATTTGTATTTAAATATTGGATAAATATTTACTTATACTACAATATTTACTACAACAGAATAAATATTTACTTCAGTAAAAAATTATTTTAAGTAAATCTATTTACTTAGTTTAACAAATTTTGTGTCAGTGTACTCCGTTCATTTTCACGGATAAACGGCTATCATTCTCCGTCGGTAACGGTTGGTCGCTGTGATCGCATTGAAAAGTCTTTATTTCGATTATTTAAATGGCACTCCTAAACGCGACGAAACTGGAAACTTTATGTTATACGCGCAATTTCATACGTAATATTGTTAGAGAGATTATTTCTTGGCAAGGGAATGTCTGGATATTTTAACATTCATTGCCCGGATATTTTAACAGAATAATAGTTAAAAGCATATATTTTATAGTAATTTTTTAAAATAGTCGGCATTACTGTGTCTATATGATTGCTATTACTAATATTATAATAATAATTACTGTAAAAATGATACTCCTGACTATAATTATTTTACTATGCGATTATAGTTTCAAATACTACATATTTTTCTATCAGTGCATGTTATTCTTTAATGCCTAATAAATTTAGCCGGAATGCGTGTGTTAACTTTGCACCCCAACTTAAAAATTTTGTAGTTCTGACTGGAGTTCCCGCTTCTTTTTCAAGAGTTTAAGAGTTCCCAATAATGTATAAAAAGAGTTCTGCTGATTAACGATTAGAAATTAAAATTTTAAAAATCGGGTGCCAACTTCTTATCGAAATTTGAGATCGAATAGTTCTGAATGGTCTAATAGCTTCATTTTGCGATTATCTAGAGTTCCTGGTACATAAAAAATTTTTTTGGTTAATTGATATGCCTGTGAAGTTGGCATATCATTTCCCAGCAGATCAAAAATAAAATGGAGTTCTTATCGCATGCAGTCGAGTTCTATAGTTCCTGATACTTTTTAATAACAGTTCTGTTGATTTTATAGAAAAAACAGCCGATAGAAAAAAAAGATGTATTTATCATAACACTAAGGCGCTGACGGATTATCGATAGTTCTACGAGTTCTAAACTATTTCTCGTGTTGTTCTGAACACATTTATTCATTTTTCAAAGAATTTTAGGCAGTGGCAAGTCTCTGTTACTCTTTAATAAATCATAATCCCCGAAGAACACCTTTCTAAGCAGATAAGTGTGCTCTGCTGATCGAAAAGTCGGAGTTCCGGTCCTTCTAAAATATTTTTCGTATAGTTTTGAATATATTGATTCATTTTCAAAAGAGTTTTAGACAGTGGCAAGTCTCCGTTACTTTGTACTTTGTACCGTTACTGCTTCGAAATGGATTTTTCGGAGATTATGAATTTATTAAAAGTAACGGAGACTTGCCTAGAACTCTTCGGAAAATGAA